TAGCTTAACAAGATGTTCACGTGTCTGCAGAACGCGCGGCAGCTGAAAGCGGCTGAAGGAAAATGGTTTGGGGGAAGTATCGTGGAACAACCATGAATCAAAGTGAGAAAATTGGAGTGACAGCTTGTACAAAAGTTGGTAGCAGGTACACACAGTTGATCAGACTGTGCATTTATGGAGCAAGCATAGCTTTGTTAGCCAGCGTTTGCTTGTCAGCCGCTGGCCCCCTGCTTGTGGAAAAAGCTCTTAGAAATAGAGTGTGAGACACACACAGACAAAAAAAAACAAAACACTATCCATCCCAGTCCTTCATCCGAATGATATCTCCATGCTGGCTTAGAATGATATTGCCCTTCTTCATGAAAGTGCTGATGGCACCATCATAGTCCCGAACCAGGCACACTTCTGCAACTGCATTCGAGTCTTCAATGCCGAGGCTTTGGAGAATGGAGATGAAGTGCTGCTTGAGCTTCTGCTCATATTCTTCATGACCAGCATTCAAGCGGTACGGCAGAACGGTGATATCAACCGCAAAATCTGGAGGTGTCAGATTGGCGTCGTCCGTGGCTTTCACGGCTCGAGGGATGTGGCAAACTTGAAACAAAATACCCCAAGCCAACACCATGAGAATTCCAAGACCATCTGCCAAACCAAGCCATTGCGTCACCTCCTTGAGACGCAGCTCACATGGAAATTGGTTCCAAACACATCGCTCTTGTACCTCTTCATCAGTTTGGCACCGTCCCCCTTCACAAGCTCCCAGGTTCCCTATAGTGGTCATCCCCAAGTACTTGTAGAGGGCGCTGTTCTCATTCACCATGTTGCCCATAATGTTCAGAGTCGAATTGGCTCCAAGCAAAATGGCACAAAGCAAAAAGACCAGGCCCATTTGCCTCAAGAATTGGAAATACAAAGATACTCCAACTCCGAAGACACCAAGTTTGGAAGCTGAAGTGCCGCAGCAAGACTTGTACTTGTAGCGTCCGGTGGCTTCATCATACTCTGTACAGGCATTCTTGTCTCGGTGTGTTTTGGCAACTTCTTGCAACTCTTTGCGGCTTTTGATCTGAACATGAGCTTCCAGGTCTTTCAAATGCCTCCGTGCCTCTTCCTCCATTTCTTCCCTTGGGTTGCTCCCCGCTTCACGGGCTTGTGCCATCTCGGCAGAGCTAGGAATCAAACGGAATCAAAGGACAAAAACGGGACAAATGTCTTTGAGCCCAAAAGCACTCCAAAAAGCAATTTCACTTTGAAGTATTCACAGCCAAGTGCCATGCACATAGTCAACATCAAACGACCGAGAGAACTCCACAACAGTAAAGGCCTTGCCAGGCAAAGGCATTCATCTCACTTTTCCTGGTCAGAATCTGCATCTTAGTATTTGCAAAAGACTTGACTGTTGCTACTGTCTCTACTGCATTGCAGAAAAAGATTTGGTAATTTCCGTCCACCTTGCAACAGTCATTCTGGAAGACATTCCACACTACGCAGTCCTGCTGCGTTTGGCTGGAAGCCAAAAAGCCTTGAGCCAGGAAAAAGCAACGTGAGCAGCATGCCTTGAGAGCAGAAAGGCAAATGTCTCTTTCCGTGCTTTACGAAAACTGGAAATGTCTGGTCTTCTCGAGTTCTTCACAGCAGAAGGCATCTTAGTAGCTTCGTGCTACTAGTAGTAATGCCCTTGTTACGAGTAGCGATGCCCTTGTTAATAGTAGCTTCTTGTTCCTAGTAGCAATGGCCTCCAACCTATGGGTTCAAAGTGCAAATATCAAAAAATTGCTTGACGGTTGAAAGTGCAAATATCTTTTTTCGGGTTCGCCGAGATGTCGGATGTCAAGCGCCCGTGGACACTTGTTTCAGGCCGAAATTGGGAGGTCAACGACTGGAGTAATAAGGGTGACCATTCAGAAGATTTCAAATATCATCCATTGAGCAGTGCAACACATTTCAATTGCGCACAACAAAGCTGCAAAATCATAGTACCGGACTCTGATTGAATTCTAATTCTCCCAACTCAGGAGCTTGGAACAAAGGCAACACTGGCAGCCTTTGTGGCCAAGCAAGGCTACCCACGAACAGAAAGGCCTTTTGAGGATGTTTTTTGCTGGCCATGCGTTGCCCGGACGGCATATTTTGCCTGCATCTAGATCAGACTGGGAATTGTTTGGCGGGATCTTCGCAGGGATGCTTCGATTGAGAAATCCATGTTCCGTTGCAGTATGCCATCAAAATCGTGTTTTCGAACTCCCAAAGAATGGATCAGTAAATCACTTCCCTACCAGCAGAACATCCCCACGTAAATTGCCAAGCTCTCAGAGTTGGCACTAACCCACCATCTGACATTCCGTGAAACTTAGGATTGCGGCTCATGGCTTGAAGAGCCTACGTCAAGAGACACGGTAAAAAGAATCCGATGGCTTTGCTGAATAGGTCGGTCATGAGGCTCTGCCTTGAGAGGTGAAAGCTCTCACAGATTGATGATGTCTGGTGGACTAGCATCCTGGAGAAAAAAACGAAGCATGGCAGCATCGCACTACCAAGTTCCTCTTCTCTTGTCATCTTTGGTGTCATCTCGTCATGTTCAATATGTTGTCTGTCTCAGGTCCTGCTTCTCGAGGCATTTAGACTCACTGGAGGAGCTGCCAGCCTTTGACCTGCCAAGCACTATTTCATCTACAGCTTTTGTGTTGCCCAAAGGCTCTGCAAACTCTTCAGATCCATGGAGATCTGCGTCTTCACTCCGTGTCTCAGTGTCTTGACCTTCGCAAAGTGTTGGCATCCTCACAACGCAAACCGACCGGCGAGTCGGACTACATGGCGACACGTTTGTTCAGGGCTCCCAAGGACCACACCGGAAGTCCATTGGTTCGCAAAAGAAGAACCTCAGAGCTTCAGCGAGACACATCACGAGAAAAATCTGGAATGATTCAAAGACGGCAAACTGTTCCATGCAATCGCATCATCTTTAGTGGGACAGGGCGCCAGTGGAATGTGGCTCCTGGCCAAGCATTTTTGGGAGAGGCTGAGCTCCTAGCACTCAGGGCTTCCTTCTCCTCTGCTTCAGTGACCCGCAATCTGAAGCCCTCAGCCCGTGTCCGTCCAACTCCAGCCAGGCTCGAACTTCCAACAGAATTGCTTAAAGGGACATCTTCAAGCAACCGACACGCATTTTGAAAATGCGATAAAGAGCCGCATCCAACACCTCGAGAGATCTTATGCGAAGCAACTCTGCAGAACGCAGATCTACAAGTGAAGTCTAGGTGGTATTGAAGAGCTTCAGCATCGCAAGTCGGGGCCCAAGCTTTGAGGTTGCAATACTTCTTGAAGATATGTTGCTGCCACACCCTGGGTTGCTGAAGCAACGTGTAATGAGCAGATCTTCAAGGCAGCCAGTTTAAAGAGTCGTATCCAAAATATCCAAGGAAATGCTTTCAAGCACCTCAACGGGCAGGTTTCATCCAAGAGAAAGCTGTGCGCCAAGTAGATCAGCAGAACGCAAACATGGGCTGCCTGAAGAACCGATCCATGGCCAAGAACACGCTTAGAATCGTTCAGAGCTACTGACACATGAGACATGACATTCCTCACTGTGATTGAGCCCGTTTGACAGCATGTATAGTCCAGCATCCGCAGAAAGTTGTGCCCCAAGCCTCATAGTCACTCATCTTTTGCCCAATTGAAGTGAAGGCGCCTGAGAGACAATGTGAAAGAATACAATAGAAAAAATAAGGTAAGAGCCCCTTCAATAAGGCCCAGGCTTCTTCAAAGGCTATCTTATTAAAGAGGCCCATACCCTCGTTCTTTATCTTTTCATTGAAAGAATACTTGTTAATAGTAGCTTCTTGCTACTAGTAGTTTGGCCAGGAGCTACTAGCTCCTAGTAGCGATGTCAGGAGCTACTAGTAGCAAAGCCCTTTGTTCCTAGAATACCAAAAAGGACTCCCGGATATTCCCGGTGGAGTTCCTACCGAGACCATGCAGGCTGAGGAGCTGCGAAAGTAAACACTTGCATATGCCAATGTCAGAACCACATCCGCATAGTGATAATCGCAAAGATGCATGAGGCGGATGCCCTGCAGTTCCACAAGCTGCAGGAACTGCATTGAAGAACATAACAAAACCTCCATGAGTTGCATGAAACCCATGCTTCAAGGAGTTGCATGAGGGCCTGTAGGACCTTTTTGTAGAGAGTGTCGTGCTTCGCGTTTGGATTCTCGAGGAGTTTCTCTCCAAGCTCCGCTGTGAAGCCGTTGATTAATCCAGCAAACCTCCAAAGAAACTACAGTCTTCAGTGGAAGCCCCAATGGTCCAAACATCGCAATTGGCTCTGAAATGTTGAAATAAAGATAAATGCATCCGACGCTGGGTCTGTCGACACCTCCAAACAAGGACAATGTCATCCTTGTAATGTGCGTACCTCCACACAGTCCAGCACAACTGCCTGTCGTATCTCTTTTTGAAAGGAAGCGGCGCACTTGCCAATCTCAGGCTTGCAAGAGAGGATGTCATCAGCCTCGTCACCATTCTCAATTGGTCTCTCCTGTCATCCAAGCAATCTGACACCAGTCTGTTGCGGTTCATCGCTTCCCATCTTGACTCTTTTCAACAGTCTGTTCGGGCCAACTTGCATTGCAAAAACATATATTGTTTAAAATATGTAACATGTACATAAATATGTATACATTAGTATGGCTTGCGGGCACCAGCACCTTCGGCACTTTGCAGGATCGATGGCCACGTGGTGCTGGAATGGCACCAAGTGCTACGACGACATCGATGTCGTGTGCAAGCCTTGAAACCGCTCAACAACCGCAGTTAATAGTCGCCCAACACGGAAAGAAAGACATAAGGAAGTGAAGGCAACAAAGGACGACATCATGGGAAATCACTGGAGGGGAGTTCAAGCTTCGGCCCGAAATCAGTAGCAGTGAAGATTGATTCTCGGCTTAAACAATTAGCAACATGGAAAGGTAGCAAATGGTATCGGTATCAAGCACACAAGGATAAATGGTCTGATAGGAAACGGTAAGAAGTAAGAAGTGTCGACCTTGCCTTACGCCACCTCCTGATTGAGGTAGAGCATCATCCAGAAGTGAATACCTTCATTGTCGGGTATCGCACTGGCGCTGGTGAATGACATGTCCATGATCATTGCAAACACTGGGCCCCACAACCCTACATCATGCTGCAGAAACTTGAGTGCTCTGTCAAGCTTGGAATGAACCTGCGAGTTAGCAGCTTGCAGGCATCAAGGGTGCAGAAGGTACGTGGTACACATGCACCAGCTGAGTAAGCTGTTGACCCTTCTATAGTGGACTGCAGCAAATAAGCCTAGCCAAAGCACCTCGGAAATTGCCAGCTCATCTTCGGTTTGTTGCGGCAGCAACGCAAACCTGCATTTGCCACACAGAGATGGTTGGGGAACATTGTCTCACGGAGATCATATTTTTGTACATGTTGTGCATCGGTTTTCTGGTGTTGGATGTGAATATCATGAAACGAGCTAATCAAATGCTACCAATGCGACGATATGTCGTTCTTTTGCGACGGCGTCTTCAGCGTAGCAGGGACGTTTTGCGTATGCTACAACCTGCATTGGCCCATCCCCAGATCAACAGGCAACACCACTCTGAAGCAACTTCTCTTGTCCTGTGCAAAATTGTACATGGCTTTCTTCTATGTGCCACACACATGTGCCTGCAGTCCTTTGGACGCGAGGATGTCTCAAACTTCTATACCTACTGAATCCGTTTCAGCGAATTGGTGAAACAGTCCATGCATAGGTGCTTGCCTCTTATGAAGCAAGTAAGACTCTCGGTCTGTCACATCTTGGAAGCAAGCGCTATGCTAAATTCTCGGATTCGCTCAGGAGCGTTCAAAAAGCTGCAGACTCCCAAGGTACTCCTCTTCCATGGTCTTGTGCCGAGGCATCGACTGGCTCCTCAAATGTCGAGGCTTGGCATTGCCTTCAACTGAGGTTTGGAGCATCGACTGCTGTCCTTCGAGGACATACTCCTCATTGAGAGTAGTCGACCGGCTGGCCGAGAGCTCCCAGGTTGGCCCTGGAATCAAGATTCGATGAGCGATGGCCTCCAAATTGGATTCTTACCCCGGAGATTGTATAAGTTCCGAAAGAATCTGGGAGAGCTTCTTTAAAGGAGTCTAGTCTAGACTAGCTTCCTCGCTACTACTTAACCTACTTAAACTACTAATTATATAGCTAATCCTTCTCAGCTCGCCTCACGGCCTACCCCCTTTCCAAGAAACATTCAAGACATGGGTTGGAGCCTTTCCCTCATCTCAAAATTTCTTCATTGAAAGCTATTGTCAAGTATATACATCATTTGTATCTGCCTGTCGACGCTGATTCGAGGAGTCACCACTGCCTTGAAAGGCACTAACTAACTCTCCCATGAACACAAAAGTGTGGTTGTGTGATTCAGTCTGTTTAGTTGATACACGAAAAGAAACTAGTCACTGAGTTGTTCAGAACTTCGCTTCTTTGGTTTCTCTTGAACGAAATCTTCTGAGTTCCTCGCTACTGGTGAAGAGATTTGTCGAAAAACTGCGTATCCCGGCGACACAGCCTTGGTCTTCCATGAGGTGCAGCCGACAAATTGGTGCAACTTTCCAGGGTCCCTAGCGGGGGTTCGGGCTCCTGCTGATGCTCCCGGCGTACCTCCGCCACTTAGCTCACTCATGACATGCTGGGAACAAAAGAATCGAAGAAAGCAACGAAAATTAGTCCAGCTGGAGACCCCAATAGCAGCTACAAACTGGGACATAAGCAAAACCTGCAAACAGTTGCTGTTTTCAACACACCGACCATCTCTTCCTTGGACACCATCACAACATGACCCGGAAACCATCACAACATGACTGGCCATCAGAACATGACCGGGACACCATCACAACATGACCGCGACACCATCACAACATGACCGGGACACCATCACAACATGACCGGGACACAGCCACAACATGACCGGGACACAGTCACAACATGACCGGGACACCATCAC